TAGTAAGTATAGTCCAATCAGAAAGCAACTTCAGACGCGTTTCAGGTCTAAATGCACCTACCATTAGTGCAGCCCCGCAAACACATGGTGCAAGGCATGGTGCTGGTGAAGATAATGTTGGATTAAAGATGGGGATGTTTTTAAACGAAGTTTAAAATTTTTTTTTTTTCTTATCTTTGTGGATTTATATACATCCTCTTTTTTATCTATTCTATTTCCATTAATTTTGTTTATAGTAATCTTAATGCGTCATTTTATTATTTTTGAATTCGGTGAATCTGAGAAAAATGAAGTAGGGCACTGAATCAAATAATAAAATAATTCGTCAAAATCATTTTATAGGTGTACTTTAACGGGGCGGAAACAACTTTGCTGTATATTTTCTGGTATTTACTTATTTTTACTATATTATTATCGGCGGAGTGATATGAGGAAGCTATGAATGTGTGCGGAGCAGGGTGTGTAAAATGTAAGCGCCCGAACTGGGACTTGAACCCAGGACCCTTAGGTTAAAAGCCTAATGCTCTACCGACTGAGCTATCCGGGCTACACTTAACACGGAATCAGGACTGATTCATCACCAAATAAAATTAAACTAAAACACTCCATGCGGTTAAGTATTTTCCTCATCTGCCTCGCAACATAACTTCACACACTCGAGCTTGTGTGACATTTATACAAAGAACAATTCGAAAGAAAGATAAAATTCACCAAAGTCACTTTTTTCGCCCCAAAAAACTTCCAACAATAATTTACCTAATTTAACACACTACCATCGACCATTCACACCGTTGTAACTTGCGAGGTGTTCCGGCTTTGAATATGTTCTCTTTTGCCTCATTTGATTTCTTTTTTCTACCATTCCTGGGATAATTTTCATCGTTTTAATCGATAGATTATCATTTTATCAACTCTTGCACTGCACATGATATACTAAAAAAATTAAACGACTTCCTTTCATGAAAAACCGACCACCGATATCACCGATTATGATGAATTTCTTAATCTGTTTTTATGCATACTTTTTTCAAAGGAAAAAAATTCTCTTTAGCCGCGTTAAAAAAAGAGAAAAAACGGAGCGGAAGAAAAATATGCGCGTTTAGTTGACCCACACTGAAAAAAAATCTCGGTGTATTTACTAAGAAAATGGTAAAATTACCAAGAATTCAGGGTTCTATTTGATCCCAGTTTTTTCTTGGTAAAATTACCGTTTATGGAATTGGTAATTTTACCAAGAAATCTTGGTAAAATGATTGAACTTTCTCTGTAATTTTACTGGACCTTGGTGAAAACGCCAATACTTTTTACAGACTGAGATAAAATGGCAAAGTTACCGGGAATTGATTACCAATAAAAGTGGTATTCTTACCTGAAAAAAACAGTAAAAATACCCATTTTTAGATAAGCTTACCAGTCTGTGTTGGTAAAATTACCAATAATTGGTAAAAAAAGTGAGATGGTAAAGGTACCAACGGACCTTGGTAAAAACTCCGATAATTTTTTTTCAGTGCAATCTCGGTTGCAGCTATTTCAAAGGCTCCGCGTGAGGGTCGGCCAACCTCATGACGATCGAAAACCTTTGTTGGTCGAGTTTGGTTTCCTTCATGAAGCGAATAAGTAGCGAAGCGTGAATGAACGATTATCGATATTTCCCCATTTGAAGCTATGGTAAAAAATCGATTAATCAGGTGTTAGTTGCGAACGCCCTGTTTATCGATCCTTTTCCATAGGTTTAAATGGCAGATCAATCGATATATCGCAATTCACGCCATGCCACTGAAGTGGATGAGTCGAGATTGAGGGGAGCCGCGGCTAAGGAAAGAACACTTGCACTCACACAGAGGCAGTCCGAGGGGAAGCGTGGCTTTGAGCCATTGAGAGCCTTCAGTCTTCGATGACTCATGAGTATTTAGTGACCTTCGTTGGTGCCACGTTCAAACGAAAATTCAGAAGAAATAAGAGTTGGGAGGAATCGAAATGGTTTCAATGCAAAACCGTCATCCATAGAAAATTTGGATTGGGATTGGGGGGAGGAAAATGGCGAAAAGGGGTTAAAAAGGTGAAAAGGTGGTGAAAGAGGGGGTGAAAGGGGGGGTGAAAGGGGGGGATTCAATTTAAGAGGACCGTAGAGGTATCGAACTAAAAGAGAGTGAAAAAAGTGGGGGCTCTAGTCGGAAAGGAACTTTCATCTTACGAGCTTTTTTCAGACACCCAAAAGGAGGGTGAAAGGGGGAATTCAATTTAAGAAGACCGTAGAGGTATCGAACTAAAAGAGAGCGAAAAAAGTGGGGGCTCCAGTTGGAGAGGAACTTTCATCTTACGTGCTTTTTTTTCAGACACCCAAAATGTGAACACATGTAAATACGGAGAACATAAATTCTACTAAATCCAAAGATCAATGAACGATTGGCATAATATAATAGTAATTTTCATTTTGATACTCTAAAATATTTCCCTTCACTTAGGACCCTTATCACAATGCTAATTTTAGAGGACTTATCACGAACTCTTGAAAACTGTAGAAATAACATTTTAAGAACCCCTTTTAGAATGGAGAGGAGAAAAGTTTATAGACGAAAATACTTAAAAAGAGTTTCTTCGAAATAAAATTTTAAAAGCTCATTTCAGAGCGGTCTTCTAAGGATAAGTTTTTTTTTTCTTTTTCCATTTTCTTAAAAACAGAAAAAAGAAGTATATTCTTTATCATTGGAGAAATTTTTCACAAGTGCATCACTTACTACTTATCTCAAATATCCATACAGAGATTTCAAAATTTACATGTTCGCTGCAATAATTACACGTATTTTTGTGCTCGGGAGATGATAGTCTTTTTTGTTTAAATTTGGCAATGAAAAAGCTGAGCAAAGCTGAGTCACCCAGCAGGTTGCTATGAGGTACGATATTGAAGGAGACAAAAATGGATGGCGCTGTTTACATCTGGGCGAAGAGACTTATGCCTGTGTGGAAAATAAACATTTTCAAATTTCAACTTTTAAATTCAAAGTCATGGAAAATTCTTTTCTTGCGCTTGATTATAAAGACATCCAATCTTCAAAAGAATGATGTTAAATCACGCACTTGGTTTTTAAGTAATGATAATCGTCTTACTTCTGTGTTCTACTTTGTTTTTCGGATAAAATTTAAATGAATATTACGCTCAAAATTTAAATGAATATTACACTTAAAATTTAAATGAATAGTACAAGAACACTTACTCGGAGGATCAAAAGTCAAATCCTTGCATTGATAATATTTATTAACTCAACCAACGTTATGTGGAAATGGCTATAAATGGGAGCATAATTTATTGCATCTCAGACTTTTGTGGACACTGCATCGTTATTTATCTAATTCTTCAAGTATTAAAGTACAAGTGAACTCTCATCTAAAATTAAGTTATGGAAAGCACAGATCTCTTGAATGATATTATGATGTTTTCTACTGTATGCACACGTGAGGTGATGTTTGGGTCCAAGGACAAAACATCTGGAGCCTGGTCTTTTCATCATGAGAAAATGTCACTCAAAATTATAGACAAGCATCGACACTCCCATACTAAATACCTAGTTTTCGAAAGAATATCAGCTAAAAGCTGGTCTTCGTACATAAATTAAAATGGCATGAGAAAGACGAAAAATGAAATATTTTTAAGGTCTTAATATAACAGGAAAAGAAAAAGATGCTTTAAAAGCCGAGTTTTGGGGGTTGTCTATGTTTACGCTACGTTGACGTCAATTTTCTCCGTAACCCAAAATCAACATATGTTACCTATAATATGATAAGTATAATTTCACATTCTTTATGTTTGTATATTTTGGTTTCAATGTTTCAGAAAATCAAATATATGTTTACCCGCTTCATATTCTTTCAGAGTAGGTGTGCTGCTAACTTACAAGTGTTGCTGCTCCTTTGATGTCATTCAGTATTATTGAGAGCAAAAGTTCTGCAAATAAGCTGTAATTGAACTTCTGGTAAAATATGTAGCTAAATTTGAAGTTACGTCGAATCAGAAGTGCATAAATATGTAAGACTAGAGGATTATGAATTAATTAGTGGTACTAAAAGGTTGTAAGCCTTACATCATCGGTATCTTATAACGGAGGAAGGGTTGGTACTTATAGTACTCATTTGTGGTAGGCAAAGTGCTAAGCTTCATTCCAGATTTAAAATTAATATTATATACATTAAATTTGTGAATACTTTGGACCAATAAGCTGCGCAAATTAACGGATGATTCCTGTCCATAAAGTGTTTCATTTTCTAGCGTAAAAAATTATTTCAAACTTTTGCAATACACTGAGGGCGTGATGGCCCTTGAAGCCTCAACTGAGATCAATTTACGCTGATCAATTTGGTTTATTTTTTCACTTATTGAAGAACAGCCCACATATACACATTAACTTAGAGACGGAAAATGTTTTGAAAGGCTAACCGAATATTTACAGTGGAATTTTAGCCAGGCCTTGAGATGAACAATTTTGCGTACTCATATCGGTATGGATTTTGCAAGGATAGTGGTTGTGTTCAAAGTACATCACAAAGATCCTATAAACTTCGTTTAGTTAAAACTCGGGTGTCGCCTGAATCAAAATTTTAATTAAGTGGTTGGTCTTGTCGAGTGTCAGAATGGAGCTGAACATATTAGGATATGCTGATTTTGTACCGGACATTACAAACATAGCACTAGCAATACGCACAAAGAAGGTACGATACTCATGTGCGCACTTTGATTATACGCACCAAGATAACGACTTAGCCATAAGATAGTGGACAGCAATCATCAGAATCCCAACCTTTGAAGCTTTTTATGAACTGCCACGGAAATATTGTGTGCCCGTCGAACGGTGACTTTATCATTTTTAGCAGTGGCGTGGCGTAAATTGCGATGTATCGATTCTTCTGTCATTTAAACCTATGGTAAAGAATCGATTATTAAGGTGTTCGCTGTGAACACCCTGTTTATCGATCCTTTTCTATAGGTTTAAATGGCAGAACAATCAATACATCGCAAAGCACGCCACGCCTCTAATTTTTAGAACAACGGAAAGTCTGGCTGTGTCTGATAGAATTTGAGTTGCCTGACTAGGAATTTTCAGATTTTTTCTTTTGAATAGAGTCCAGACATACACACCTGAAAATTGGACAATATTTTTGGTTCAAACAGTTATTATTACTCGCACTAAAAATGGTTTTTGAACAGAACTAGTAACACGCCTCCCGCAAAATCGCAAATAGAGTGAGTAGGCTAGACAAGGAGGGTCTGGACCTCGCGAAAACTCCCGTCACGGAGCATACGAAAGAAATAACAAACCTGTACAGGGAAAAAAATAGTACGGTACAAATTTTCAACTTACAAAAAAAAAAAAAAAAATTAAAAGTCGCATTTACAGTTCGTATTTACACGGGGTCAACAAGGGTTATAAGGGGGTAAGGCCGTAGTCTGACTTGATCGGTATTGCTTGTGACGTGTTAATATTACTCATATTCGAGTGTAGAGACGAGGGGGTGAGGGGGGCTAGGTGGGAATTCAGGGGGGTGAGATTGGGGGACGATGGGGAGATACCGTGGAGGTTCATGAGCGCGGATTCGGGTGATTCCGGCACGAGGTGGTGGTCGTTGTACTGGGAGTTGTTTTGCGACATATCGTCGACGCTAATTGAGCTGGTTACGTTGTTTAGTTCGGTGATCGGGCTGGCTTTTTTCTTACTCCTCGAGTTTTTCTTGCCGGACGCCGTGGTAGTTCCGTTTTTCCGCCGGACGTTTTTGGTGTTGGGTAGTTTGTTGTCCTTCTTCCACTTCATGCGCCGGTTCTGGAACCAGATTTTGATTTGCCGCTCGGACAGGCACAGAGTGTGCGCGATCTCTATTCGCCGCCGCCTCGTTAGATACCTGTTGAAGTGGAATTCTTTCTCTAGTTCTAGGATTTGGTGCCTCGTGTAGGCTGTCCGTTGTCGCTTTGGTTCCATCCCTGGCTGGAAGGAGCCGTTGGCTGAAACAGAAAAAAAACCAACAGAATTATTATTATGTGTCGGGGTAGCCATATTCACATGGTTGCCCAAACGCGGGTTCATCGCCCAAAACGTATGTCTTGAAAACTGTACCATACACTCGTTGCTGTAGGTAGGATTGAATAATAAAGTTCATGACACTACCAACAAGTTGGGTGAAATATTAACCCGAGAGGAGGATCGCTATCAGTGGCGGTTAAGTGTCGCAGAGCGCACAGAAGCGCTATAAGAGCGAATTGTTAGTAGTAGTATTATTATTTTGTGACCTGAGAGATCAAATGGACTCCATTTTGCAATAAGGCACCACTATTTGTGACTCAGTCTAGGAACAACATATGTGCCATTGGTTTCCTTACGCAGAGAGGAGCTTTAATGGACGAGCCAGAGATAGTGGTTCCTTATTGCAAAATGTAATCCAAATAAAATGTAGCAACGAGTAGATTTGAAAACGGCAATAACCATCGAAATAAACGGGCACGGTTTCTCGAAAGTGAAGAATTTAGGATTTTTTTTTCAAATTTTACACAAGGATCGCGCATGAATCACATGACGCCATTTTCGTCCGTCTTCTTAATCTCAACCCCTCAGCGCATACGTTACGCCAACTTGGAACGTTCTAATGAAATACGCCACGGAAAACAAACAATCTGACTCATTCCAAACTTTGGAGACTTGCACAAAAATTTTTAAGGACATTGTTTTCATATTTATTAAAACATTCATCTGTTTGTGAGTTGTTGCCGCCAAAAGGTCCACTTCGAGGAGACTGTGACATCTCCTGACAAAGTACATATGCCAATAATAAAATTCTTCTCGGAAGTTCATCTTATTCCTCTTCGCAGACTTATCGATCCTTTTGAACATAGAGTCAGACTCTATTTATATTTTTGATTTAAAACGCAAAGTGAAGATGATAACGAAACCGCTAAAAGTCAAGTGTCTCAAACCAAATGACTTGTTCTACTTCTGGATGGCTGCAACTTGTTCATGTTTTCATCGTAGTGGGGTAAAAGTTTGCGACGGCCGGAGGGCGTTCCGACAGAACTTTTATGGAGAGAGAAGTGCCCTGTCAAAAACTTTCAACGAGGGATTTCGAGTCGAGACTCCGTAACGGGGCTTGACTGGATGACAGGAGTATGGAGTCTGCCAATCGATTCCCGGCTAATCACACCTCTCACCTCAGACGGAGATCCCGTCTCAAGTTCAACGTTGCCGTTGTTAAGGGAGGCGATTCCGTTTGACATTTAGAATCATTGTTTAAAAGAGCTCTTAAAAACAATCGATCCTTTTTCCTGGAGCCTGCACTGGAAAAAAAAACACATTGGATCCAGAGTCCAGACTCTAAAAAACATCCACAAGAAAAAATACTCTTGATTCAATAGGATTTTTGTTTAAATCAAGAAGCAAGCCTCTTAATTTGAGCGGATTTCCTTTTGATTTAAGCAAAAATCTGATTGAATCAAGAGTACTTTTTCTTGTCAATGTTTTCAAAAGTCTGGACTCTAGATCCAATGTGTTTTTTTACACAGAATTTCTACTCACAGAATTTCTAAAAAATCAGCTGTAATCATTAGAAATTTTAATTCAAAGAACATTAACACCTCTGTTATACTTATCATCCCAATAATATTAACTTCAATTGACCCAGATTTTCTGATTATTTAAATCTAAGTAGTTTATAAAAACATTAATATGTGAAATTAAAAATAACTTTAATAAGTTTTTGGATTTTTGCTTAAATCAAGAAGCAAGCCTCTTAATTTGAGCGGATTTCCTTTTGATTTAAGCAAAAATCTGATTGAATCAAGAGTATTTTTTCTTGTCAATGTTTTCAAAAGTCTGAACTCTAGATCCAATGTGTTTTTTTTTCCAAGGTGAGGAGTCCGTGCAACACTAGAAAAGGTAAACATTTTATTCTGATAGATACTTCCTCTTCAAAATTTCACCTAAAACACGATTCGCGTAACGAAAATGAATGAAATTAATTCTAAACCAAGAAACGACTGATAACATTTTAATTTAACGTTGGTTTTTGAATCTTCCACTCACATGAAAAATCTGAGTCTACCTTAAACATGTCGCGCACTCCAACGGTATGGAAAAAGGCCCGGATGACGAGTACATACAGGAGTCCAAGCCGTGCACCGCGGGAGGGGGCTTAAAGAATAGAATAACCCCAGAAGGACAAAACCCAGCAGCCCTCCTGACTAATTTTCAAAAATTGGCGACCGACTGAAGTTAATTTTGTCAAAAAATACAGTAAATGTCAAGGCAACCATGAACTTCAAAAATCATGAGTTATTCGGGAATTTTTTGACTTCAGGAACCTTGAAAGACTTTTACATCTGACATTTCCTCATTGTCAGTTTGCCTTCAGTTTTCGGTATAGGCAACCCGAGCTCCCACGTGGCCGAATAGTGGTATCACTCTCAGATGTTACGATTGCTCGAGAAAGAAAACAGGAAAATCCACCAAACGCCCAACCATAACGTTGGAGCCACTACACGTCCAGCCAAGACGTTGGAGTGGTGACGTTACCTCGTATTTTTTATTTCATGCGAGGTATGTTACTGTTTATCACTTTGAATTCGCCTTGCAGGGAAATATATATTCCTAAATTGTATTTATGTATCGACGTATGTGTTTGGTTCAGAAAAAATTAACGCATGGATAAATAAAAACAGAGAATTTTAAATACATAATTAAAATTAATCTTTATGAAAGTAGTTTTTACTGTGTAAACCAAGCAGGACACCTAATTTTCTATTGGTTGGGCCCGAATCCTCCGTGCAAGAGCAAGAAGTAATTCTTACTCAGCATGAGAGTCACAAAGATTCCAATGCTTTTATTTTCACTCTGTTCACCTCCATGTTTTTCACAGCTCTCCCTTTATTATCATCTGGACCAGAGAGATCGCCAACCCACCACCCGAGCCAGTCCGGCCCTGCTGGAAGAAAACTTTTCAACCATTGAGGGATGCTCCAAAAATGTTACACCGACTACTTGGCAAGACAGACTTTCGGACCATCTCGACATGAGTTCATAGCTCGAGGGCAGAAGCGCTCGAAGTAAAGACACCGTTGACAAAGCTAATAAAACTCGTAGATCGAACTACATGGCCTTAGCCTCAACCCTCCTCAAGATGGCATCAACGTCTCAGACGCTTTACCTCAGATGCAAGACGAACATTCCACCAAGCCCATTAGCATCTTGTCAACTCAGCTTGATGGCCCGCTCCCAACTTTTCGCCCCTCCGGCCCTGATCCCCCGGACGCCCTCCGCTCTGCCGTGCTGCGGAAAAACGCCGTATGAGCCTTCAGACGTTGCCAAGTTTCCTCCGCTAAAAATCGAATTTACTCGGAAAATTCTGAAAATTATTTTCCAAAAATTTCAGGCAATTTTGCAAGCAATTAAATCTAAAATACCTGAGAGTTTCAAGGGAAAATACGCATGAATGTTGTCAAAAATACACGTGTTATCATGGGAGATTTGGCAACTCTGGAATGTTCATACGGCGTTCTTCCTTAGCACGGCAGCGCTGTTCACCGTCTGATAAGCCCGTCAGCCGCCAGGAAACTTTATCCCACCCTTTGAAGGCCAACTCTCAAGTTCCCCGGTGACATCGGCGAAAAACGTCGTTGCGGTGACAAAAAGACGTCAGTTAATTTTAAGATCAAGCCCGTTGTTCGTATAAACTGATGCGTTCCGGGACCCAACGAAGAATGGGTGTTAGGTCTTTTTGTCATTAGGGGAACGATAAAGGAAGCTTCCGCGTTCTTGGCGACTTCGGTTTCAGACAGAGAAAGTTCGGTTTGGTTTTGATGAGGGGCCCCTTGTCTCTAGTTTTTGACCTTGAAAAGATGACGGCGCAACTGTGGTTACATGGATCAATAGACTGGGCTGGGACAGGATCGCGCTTCATAAAATTTCGGTTGCGGGGCGGAAATTGGTTTGCGCATGTAAACGAAAAATCAGATAGCTATATCACTCTATTGCTTTAACTATTATCACATTAGGGAGGATCGACTGCTGGTGAGAGAGAGAGGATAGTTTACTTCATTTAGAATCAAAAAGAACTCTTTAAGAGTTCATTTAGTTTTTTTATTCCTCTCTTTCTTCTTCTACTTCTACTTCCTTTTTTCTTCTGCTACTTCTACTTCTACTTCCTATTTATCTTCTGCTACTTCTACATCTACTTCCTCTTTATATTCTCCTACTTCTACCTCTACCCCTTTTAGTACTTCTACCATGGCCGGATTCACCTACTTGCCGCCCATGGGCCGCCTGTATTTTGCCGCCCCCCTCTCATTCGTTTTGAAACTCGATGAAAACCATCAAATGAACGTGTCAGCGGGGAGGGGTGCATAAGACGCATTTAATCGGGTTGAACACATTTTTTAGGAAAGCTCTGTCAACACTACTAGCAAAAGTTCACGGAACATTGCGCGAAAGTTAAGTTCCGTAAACCTATCTCTGTGTGGACAAGGCCTTCCATTCTTAAGAAATGAACGAAAAAATTATGAAAGTGCAAACATGAATGTAGATCAATGATTTTAACTTCCGCCGCCGCGCCACGCAGACCGCACCGTGTTTGGCGCAATGCGTGAAGTATTCATGCATTCTTGTAGGCGCTATCCGTTTCACGCTGACCGCAATGACCGCATTGTGTTTGATGCAATGCGTGAAGTATTCGTGCAGTCTTGTAGGCGCTAATCTGTGTTACATACCAATCGGCGCGCCGAGGGCTTCTCCTTTTCATCTCAAGTCCTCGTTATCATTTCTTTCTAAGTCGCGCGCCGTTCCAGGCCAATTTTCGTGTTTGGTCTTTCTCTTAACTAGACTTATTGAAAGTGCTGTCTCTTCTATCACTAAGAGACAACAAAATTAGAAATTACTATACTCTCAGAGAATGAGAAGTTTTGTCGCCTTTTCTCGTTTGTAATTTTATTTTTATAAATCCGATTTTTTTAATACCTACATT